GATATGTAGTGATTACAGTAGTATCGTTCTTGATTCAAAACAGTCTGTGATTATAGTTTTGAGTCCTCAAGAATCAGAACTGTTCTTTTATTAAGTAGTTTAAATAATGTCTGAACTTTCAAAACAGAACTTCTAGTTTAAGACAGGGTTTTTAAAAGTAGCCAATACAATTCCAATCTGGGGGCATCTATGAGGGCTTCTTTGTGATAAGTTTAGAATCAATTTTAAAGTGCATACTGACATTTGAAACAGATATTCTCTGTAGAGAAATATTTATCATAGCTATTGTTGTGTTATCAAACCACTTCAAATCTCAGCAGCTTAAATAAGCATTTATTGTTCATGAGTTTATAGGTCAGTTTAGGGTGATTCTTCTAGTCTCAGCTGAGCTCATTCATGTGTCTGTAGTTAACTTTTGTTTGGGGAGACAGTTCTGCTGCTGTAGTCTGGAATATCACGTTTAGGGTTGGCTACTTATAAGATAGGGGCCCACAACTCTCTTCCACATGGTCTCTCATCCACCAGCAAGTCAGCCTAAACTTGCCATGGCAGAAGCAGAATTCCAAGAGAGAGGAAGCACCTAAGGCCTCTAGTCTAAAAACTGACACACTGTCACTTCCGCCACATTCTATTGACTAAACGCAATCACAAAGCCAGGCTAGATTCAAGGGGTGGGAACAGACTCCATCTCTTAATAAGAGCTGCTGCAATGTCACACTGCTAAAAGCATGGATACAGGGATAGGGAGAAGAAATGTGGCCATTTGGCTAGATATATAATTAATTAGGTAGGTAGGCAGATCTACATATAAATATTCAAATCATTTAAATAAGAATTTTTTACCCAGTTTACCATGGACACTTGATTATCTCCAGGAGGTTTAGGAATTTTCTCAAACTGCAGAATGCGATCCTCCACGTATGCATTAAACAACTCTCTTAGGTTAATTTACTGTCTTTTCCTTAAATCCCACTTCTTTTGATATTAATATTACCACCACTTACTTTCTAAAGCAGAATTTTTATGAGCCTCCTTGGACCATTAGTAAAAATAATTCATTCAAGTTCTTATTGGACAATTTTTTTTAAAGTTTTATTTTAATGCATGAGTATGATTCATTTAGCAGTATTTCCTCTCTTCCATGCAAAGTATTTGTGATACTATAACACATATAGCCTAAATTATGTATTAAAAGAATTCACATAATGATGTTTTGATTAAAAATCATGTATCTCACTTACTCTCACTTAGATCTTAACTTGTGAAGGATAAAGTGGACCTAATCATCCTGTTAAAAATAAAATCCCTCAAGTTGACATTCTGGTATCATAACTTTTCACAGATCCGTAAGACAGTTGTTATTTTTACCCTCTTCCCCATTTTCTCCCTTTAAGGGACTAAATGCTCAAAAACAATAACTGTATTTTAGGACACCCTACAATCTGCTCCCATAGCCCCCATATCCCTCCTCTTTTGTAACAAGCAGCATAGTAAACACTTGCAACTACTGACTGACAGCTGTCTTGCCCATAAGAATGTGAGCTCCATGAAGGCAGGGGCTGTACTTACTCTGTTTACTACTGCCTATGTCCTCAGCCCCACCAGCAGTCGAAAGGAAGGTTGGGCAATCTACTTCCTTAGTGATACTCCGTCAGCAACCCAAGGAGGGGTTGCTAAGAGTCGGGTCTGACTCGAAGGCACATAACAACAACATGTTCTCAGCACCAGGCATATAATGGCTGCCCAACAAATTACGTGGAGTTTGGAGGAGGAAAAAAAAAAAAAAGCTAACCATTACTTTAAAAATCTATCATTATTATCTAAGTCAGGATAAAGGCTCCCTTTGGAGAGGAGAATAGGGATAGTGATTAGGAAGAGACATGAACAGGGATTAAAGGATGTTAGTCATGTTCTATGTCTTAATCCTGGGTATGTTCACTAGGTGATCATTTACTGAGCTGTGTATTTGTGATCTGTGTACTTTCTGAATGAGCTACACATCAACAAAAATGTTTAAGTCTACCATAAAGTTCTGAAAAAGAAGTAAATTACAAGCATTGCCATTGAATTTAAAATACAGATTGTCATTAAAGAATAATTAATTCATAGTAGGTTCTGAACAAGTTCACTTAAAGTGCAGACCAAAGTTTTCATTGTGTTAGAAAATGCATTCTTACCCATGGACATTAACCAGATGTATCCTACCCCAAAGTTACAATGGAAAACATTCATTAATTGAGATAATGTATATAAAGTGCTTTGACCAGTGCCTGATATTGTATCACAAAACAATGAGCCACATGAATTTTTTGAGTTTCCCACGCATATAAAAGTTATGTTCACACTATACTGTAGTCCACTGATTATGAAAAAGTTTGAATATTGTGAGAATTACCAAAATGTGATAACGAGACACCAAGTGAGCACATGCTACTAGAAAAATGGCACCAACAGACTTCCTTGACACTGTGTATGGTTGGGTGCCATCGAGTCAGCTCTCACTCATAGCAACCCCATGTACAACAGAACAAAACAATGCTCAGTCCTGCACCATCCTCACAATCTTTGCTATAGGGTTGCCATAAACCTTCAAATTAAATTACCAGTTATCTCTGAAGCACAATAAAGTGTGATAAACAAGATATGCCTAGATCTGAAAAAATTCAAGTCATTGAAAATTCGTCTGAGCACAGTTCTACTCTAACACATGAGGTCACCATAAGTCAGAATCCAAGTTAACTATTACAATTTTGCACTTTTGAACATACCAAAATAGTTCCAAATAAAGGCTTAACCTTAGATCACAGCAAATTTACTTCATTAGAATCCCAGATCTGTTTTGTTCATAACTCTCTCAAAATAGCTTCAATAACCTAATTGAAGCAGTGTCTTATTTTACACAATTTACAGTCATGGAGCCCAGACCACCAACTGGCTTTCATGACACCCCAGGTCTAAGAATGATGGAGCATCCGTGCTGAGAGACAAGAGCAATCCACTGGACTGGTGATTCTCAAGTATGTGCATCACTGGGGCATCAGTTAAAAAGTGCAGGTTCCTGGGCTTGCCACACCAGAGATTCTGATTCACTTACTCTGAGACAAGGGTCCAGGAATGTGCATTTTTTAACAACCTCTTCAAATGAGTCCAAAGAAGGTGGTCTATAAAGAGTATTAAGCCTCTTATTTTATAGATAAATGCAAAGGAAGGCCAAGGAGGGAAGGGACCTGCCCAAAGTTGTCTTTCTAGTTAATGAGCATACAGGGCCTAGAACAGAAGTCACCCTTTTACCACTCAGGTGTTATTTCCATTACTCCATGCTGCAACAGGTCAGGACCCCAAATGAAATTGTCCTGATTGGTTTACTCCACTGAGCCCTATTGCCCTTTTACCTACGGATAGGTTAACTAGAGAGGCACAAAACCCATCTGTATAGTCAGTAGTTATGCAAAATCAAGTACTTCAGAAACCTAGTTTAAATCATAGCTTCAACACATATATACAGTGAGAACCTGAGATAGCTATTTGAATCGTATGTGCTCTGTAAAATGGCAAAACAGTATCTACATTTGCAGGATGTTGTGAAGAGCTATGTAAAATACTAGCACAGAGCTTGGCAAATAATGAGATCCCAGTGAACAGTAGCTATTTTTAATGCCATATTAAAACACAGCACAAAGACCACATTCTTCATTCTACTACAGGAGTGTTCTCAAGGTACAGGCACCTACAACAGAATTACCTGGAAGTTCTTGTTTAAAATGTAGATCTCTAGAACTCTCCACAGCACTTTCCAAGATCTATCTAGTGAATCAGAATCTCTGTAATGGAACTCAGAAATCTGTATTTTTAACAGTGAAGCAACCCCAGGTTTTTCTTATGTATACAAAAATTTAAGAACCACTCAACTAGGGACTGCAGAGAGTGATCTTGCCAATGAAAACATGTGTATCAATGACAGCCAGGTAGTGCTGAACATTCTAATTTGATGCCAGCAATGTTGTGCTAACAAGAAGTAGGTGAGCGCCACCTACTGTCTTATTTCATAATACAACACTGAGACTGGTTCAAATCTTCTCTGGGTAATTGATTTTACCCTGAAAAATCAATCAATCCTAAACAAGATATCCGAGCAAAAGAAAACACTGTTGGAAGGAGAAATGAAAATATTCGTTACTTAACTAGAGCAAAACTTACAAAGGGTTTTTGGAGTTTTAGATTAATATTTCCAAAAAACTCCCATAATTTCAAGTATAGCAAGGATTGTGAGGTTGGCACAGGACCGGGCAGTGTTTCTTTCTGTTGTATACAGGGTTGCTATGAGCTGGAGCCGACTTGATGGCACCTAACAACAACGATAAAACATTAAAGGATAATACAGTTCCTTACTCACTGACCTGTGCCAACAGTGAAAAGAACAGAACCACAGAATGTCCTAATGTTTTGCAATGAAACAATGTGCTGCTATACTCACCTCTACACCCTACTCCTGCCCCAAGAGAAGTAAGGACAAATAGTTGTATGCTGGACTACTAACCAAAAGGTTGGTGGTTCAAACCCATGCAGAGGTGCATCGGAAAAAATCCTGGTGATCTGCTTCCAAAAGGTCATAGCCATGAAAAGTCTATGGAAAGCAGCCCTACTCTGAAACACATGGGGTCGCCATGAGTCTGAAACTGACTCAGTAGCAACTGGTAGTAGTGGTTCTTATCCTGTAACATTTAATTCAAGTCCAGTATCAAAACTGCCACCTGCAGAACAACAGTCAGAAAGTAAACATTAACTACAAAAGGTACTCAAGAAAAACCATTTTGAATTATTGTCTCTGTTATTATGTTTAAAGCTGATTTCTTCTTCCAAGTTGTAAATGAATACAAATAAGCCCAGAAGCTCAAGAGAGATGGGGAAAGCCTTATAAATATTAATATAAAACTAAACTAACAGTCTTACACCATGTTCCAATAAGTCAATGACAAATCACACACAAAAAAAGCTTTTGTCTTTAATTTTTTTGTTTTTAGGAAATAAACAGCAAAAATATATACACTTTGAAGTCTGGGTTCTTCCATCATAGAGTATGAATGATGGTTCGGTTGCGAAGCTCCTGAATATATTCTTTAGCGAGAGTGACCGCTGTCTTTGGTGCCTCAGGTGGAGGTGGGGGTCCTTCCACCAGCTTCACAAAATAATGGCAATAAACTTTCTCCATGATACCAAAGTGACCTCTGCCATGGTAACGGATGCGTTTTAGGCACTGGCCTCGCCCTGAGGTAGACTCAGCTAGACAGGGAAGAAAAAGAGAATTATAGGACATTACTGCTATCCACAAGACTACAACTTCATCAACTGAGGAGTTTCTGCTCTTTCCTCAACTGGATTCTATGATCACATGAGCTCGCTGGTTGGCTGGATCAGGCTTGTCTCAAAAATAAGTATCACCTGAGAAATTATTAAGAGTCAGGCTCTACTCTAGATCTTGGGGAGGTGAGAGTGAACAAGACTGCAAGGCGCCTGCTTCCGTGCAGTTTATATTCTAGCGGGGAAAGGCAGCAAATAAACATGACAATTTCAGTTGGTGGCAAGTGCTATAAATAAAATAAAAGAGTGAAGTGACAGAGATGGAGGGGTGGCACAATCTTCAGCTTAGAGAGTATCAAGAGGCATCCCAGAGGAAGAGATATCTGTTGCAAGGCCAGAATGAACCATTCATGCAAATATTTTGGGGCAGGGCATTCCTGCCAGAGGAAACAGCAAGCGCAAAAGCCCAATGGTAGAAATGCACTTGGTTTGTTTTAGGAAGCAAGAAGAGTGGTACAAAAAGAGATCAGTCATGGAGGCAGAGGACAAGATTACAGAGTGCCTTGTAGGCTGAGATAAGGAATTTTGATTTTATTCTAATTGTGATGAGAACTCACTGGAACCAGTGGTTCTCAAATGTTTGTCCTTGGTACATCAAAATAACCTAGGGAACACACTTAAAATGCAGATGCTGAGACTCCACCTCTAGAGAGTCTAATTTAGTATATTTGGGGTAAGGTCTTGGAAACTCCATTCTGGCAAATAATGCCACTTTCCCCAACTCAGTAATTGATTCACAGCCAGTTTCAGGAACCCCTGCATCAAAACTGCCCCTGTGCCTATTCTCTCCCACTCTGTGTATCAAAGTCTGACCTTGTAAAATTTAAAGAAATGTTTTATATAATACCTAAGAAATCTGTTCACTTGTTCTGATAATAAATCAGAGTAGTAGCTCTGATCAGTTACCTTTCTAGTTAATTTAGTAAGTCTTTTAAAAAGGCTAAGTTTACAGACTACATATCAAATCAATCCACTTTAATACCCACCATTCTTATATTCTTATTGTGAAATAACTTTATAAACAGAGACTGTATCAATGCGCACTCCTGTCAGCCCTCTGACTACAACCCCCTTATGAAGTGAAGTGAGTGAAGGATCTACTAGCTTTGCTACAGAGGAAGCTAGGAATAAAAGCGATCAGAAAAACTACTTAGGGTCTCAGTGAGATAAGAAAAGAGCTTATAGTAACTTCATCTATCGGGCGCTAAAGAAATGTGTTTAAGAATTTTAAAAGAGGGAGTTCCGGCAAGATGG